AAGGTAGAACTTGTTGACCCCTTTTGTTACTGCAAAAGCAAGTGACCCAAGCAGCCCACAGTATCAATTGCATGTTCATGGCTTATAAGCCTGCTGGTTTGTAATGACTTCAAGGAAGAAGAATGAGTCATATAAAACCTCTTTGAAGTTTGCAGAAATTGTCGGAAATGCACCTATGTGTTCCTGATATCCTTGTCACCGCTACTAGCATCCTGCAATCCTGCCCTGTTGTTTTTTTGGATGATAGGGTACCAGAATTATCTGTGCGACTCCCAAGACCACCACCATTCTTTCTCTCTGACATATTGACGTTTGGCAATTGCCACTCAAAAAATTTGTAAACAAAGGACCACACAACTGCTTTGACAGTTTAAAAAAATGAAATGGTAACATAAAATGTTGATACCAACTATTCAGACTCTGTACAGAGGTATGACCAGTCTAAACAGGCTTTGGGTATATTTGGTTATAGTCTATCCATGTGTTTAAAGCCCTGCTCTATAGAAGCCATAATTTCCATATGCAACATTGATCATGGCTCTAAAAAGTGTTAGCTTTGCCACAGTAAAAATGTCTGCAGGATAGCTGGGTGGTAAGCAACTGGCTGTCTCACTTGTCAATTTGACAACAGGACTTGCAGTGCGGTGCTAATGTGTCATATTTGCAGAAGGCCATACTTTTTTGGCACAGTGAAAAACATCAGCAATTTAACAGCTTTTATGGCAATTAAAAGCAAAAAAAGGCAGGCTGGCATCGTCCTCTGTTGGCAGTTAGGTAGTAAATGATCAGGCAGGGTTGCCTTTTTTTTCTACAGAAATCTACTTTGGACTGACAAATATAAAAATTTAACAAATGCTAGCTTTGTTGAGAAATATCAAAAAAAGTAGCCTGGCAGGTCCTGCAATTTGGCAAATACACTGGCAGCATACTGCAAGGGTGCAGGGCTACGGAAGAAGGCCCCAAACATTTTGGCACAGTGAACAAAAAAGGCAACAATTGAAGCAATGGAAGCTTTTTTGGCAAGAATAAAAAGGGAGGCTGGCAGTGTCCTCTTAAAAATTCCGCAAATTTGTAGGCAGCCTGGTCAAGTATTACAGATGTTTTCTTTCTCATAGTGAAAATACCTAGAATTTAGCAAGTGCAAAAAGGATGGACTGAGTCTCCTGCATTGTTAATACACTGGTAATGTAAACTAGTATTACTGAAATCATTTGCTGGTATTACTAGGAAAATGTTTAAAACTCCTTGTGTTTTTTGCCGACTTAAAATTCCATCAGTGTAAAAAGTGTCTGTTGTGATGCCCGGTAAAAACATACTTGCCGGTGTCCTCAGTTATCAGTTTGAAAAATGCACTTACACATGGAGACTACTTTGATCTCAGTTGCAGAATGCCAATAGTGATTGTTCCTGCAGTTTTTAAAATAAGCGACACCACAACAACAGTCTCCTATTTATCAAACTGTAAATGGAGCTAAATTATGCCTACCTAGCAACAGCCACTATCCTAATTTACTCACTACCACCCACATAGGAGCCCACACCTACTCTATATTCTTTTTGTTACAATGCCAGCAACAGGCACACCTAAAAACTAATGGAGATCTTGACCTTGGTTCATAGGGGAATGTTTTTTTATAATTCAATACATTTTTAGTTAGGGAAAGTAACAGACAATCAAGACAGCTATTAGGATGTACAAACCCCATACTTAAATATACATCATCAAGGTTGTTCAACAAGACATAGTGTAAGGTGCAGTAGCCCAAAGAAACCATAGCCAACCAGGAGTCATTTGTTCTCATTGTCCCTTCAGAAAAAAACAAACACACATACTTCTCTATGATATACTCATATTGCCCCTTTTGAGGGGATCACAAAAAATCTTGATAATTCTGAATCATTTTGGTTCCTGTCTTTTAGACTGGTCTGCCGTCTGTCACTGACAGCATTCAGACTTGATGTCAACTTGCATTGCACCATTCTTTATGACACTAAAAAAATCATCCTCTCCAAAAGTGCTATATAGAAACTGCCTACAATAGTTAAACACTGCTATGTAATTCAATTTAGCATAATTTATTTATCTTGATATCTTTGATATGTGAATTAAAAGTTCTTACTAATTAACATTGTCACGAGAACAAGGAGTTAAGGAAAAAATAAACACAGAAATAGAACAAGAAATTCAATTAGATCCACTGAGATGATCTTAATACACATTTTTAAATTAGTGCCAGAATATTTATGTCTAAAGTTCTTTTCAACTTCAGAAATATCTGTCTGACCATATTTACTTTGGCTTCTTCAGTGCATAAATTAATATACTTCATGTTATGCTGAAAGCTGAGTTACGGTAAAAGCTCACATAATAAAAAAGAACACTGCTTCCAATAAAAGTGGAAAGTAAAGAAATAAATGTTCAAAGTTATTTGTTTTTTATAATGCTCATATTAAACTTTTACTCATTCCTAAAACTTGAAGATGCCTTCTTTTGTTAATTTATGTGTAAGCAGCAGAGATAAGTGAATATCTTTAAATACACAATGTTGGTGATTAGGGACAGGTTTATGATTTCTGTCCCCTAGGTAGGCCAACTATCTTATGCTGTCTCCTTTACTAGATCAATGCATTGATGCCACACAAGGCACGTTTAGACTGGAGACAGACAGAATAAGATAAACAGTTTGTCCACTCCCTATTGATATATCTAGCTGATGAGCGTGGCACAAATTGTCACAATAGTAGGTAGGTGCTAGAGAAGAGTTCAGAGCCAGCATAGGCAGGGTATGAGACTGAGCAGTCTGTGCAGAGGGGGAGTGCAGAGGGCATGAGAATAGGCAGTATCTGCAGAGTAGAATGCAGATGGTATGAGAATGAGCAGTTTGTGCAGTGGGGGAGTGCAGAGGGTATGAGAATGGTCAGTATGTGCAGAAGGAGAGTGCAGAGGGTATGAGAGCAAGCAGTTTCTGCAAATGAGGAGTGTAGAGGGTATGAAAAAGGGAAGTATGTGCAGGGGAGGAGTGCAGAAGGGATGGAAACAGTCAATATGTGCTCTGGATGTGATGATTAGGTAATGCAGAAAAGAATATTCAGGAGAGGCAGGAAGAATATTCATTAGAGGAATACAGAGAGTATGAGAGGGGGCACTATGTTTAAAGGAGGAGAGAGAAAGGTTTGAAACAGGGCACTATATGCAGGGAAAGAGAAGTAAATATGTACTGTGGATGCATGCAGAGGGTATCAGAGTGGGCAGTATGCGCAGTAGGGGAGTGCAGATGGCGCAACCGTGCACCCAGTGTTTTGGTTTGGTTTGTTTAGGTAGTGTGGAGAAAAGTCTATTACAGCATACACAACACACAAACAGCATTTGTAAGACATAGGGCACACGTTTTGCAAGTTTTTATTACCTGGTATTTTTTTTATACTGTGGTGACTGGTTCTATCTATGGAGACATCTGAGGTCTATTAAACCCCTGATATGTCCTCTGTGTCTATCAGATAAAGACTGAGACAGAAGATGTGTGCTCTTGGCTGTGTTCTGTGACTGAGTATGTGGTCATTCTGTTGTGAATGAGTGTCTGTGTTTTCTGACTGTGTGTGTGTGTGTGTGTGTGTGTGTGTGTGTGTGTGTGTGTGTGTGTGTGTGTGTGTAGGGGAGTGTAACACTAGGGAGAAGAGCAGACAGAGAGAGAGAGATGTTGCATGAGCCATGAGAGTGTAAAGTGTCTGTGTGCAAGAAGATTTCAGTACTGCGGATAGATAAGAGGAAGTGTTGTTCTGCCAAGGAGAATTGATAGAGGGGATTGAACACTTAGGAGGAAAGCAGACAGGGAGACGAGGAGGCGAGGGTGTACCCACTGAGGGTGTTTTTATACAGTACAAGTCAGGATACAGGAATGATAGCTCTGTGTAGTGGTGGTGCCATCTTACTGCTGCTTGGGTACTGGGAAATGAGGAGTGTGGTGGGGTGGGATATCGGGAAAGACCAATGTGTGTACTTACACATTATACAGTATAGGATAGGAATTATCCTTAAACAGCTACCATCACTACTGCTGTTTGGCTTACAAAAGAAACAATGCAATTGGAGACAAATTGAGACTTAGATAAACATGAGCTTTTAGAGGAGATGATGAGTGTTTAAATGTACACAAAGCTGGATTCACAGATTTGTGTTTGTGCCTGATGCATTTTCCATTGACATGATTGTAAATGCATAGCAATGCATAATGCACATTTAAATGTGCATTAAAGCAAATAGGCAACATGCATTAATGTGCTGTGAAGGGCATTATGGTGCATATTGATGTGCAATGTAAGGATGCATGGATAGACAAGCTATTTACTCAATGATCTCAGTCAGTTTACTGTGATGGATTAGTCTACCACTGCAGCTTCTCAAATGTTTGTTGTGTACACTAAGTTTAGCACCTTCCCTGACATTCTTAGTACTGGAGTACTGTGAGCCCAGCCTGTGTAATGACACAACCCCTAGGGTGTGTGTAAAGGGCAGGATGGGCTCACTGGAAATAGTCAGAATAAGATGACTGCCCAAAAAGAACTACTGATGCTGAACTAAGGAGGAAGCCAGAGACAGCATTGAAGCGTGGAGAGGGTAAGTAGAACTTTGAATTTTATTTTTTTAAACAGGAAGTGTGTGTGGGGGAAGGGAGTTAAAAATAAAACAAAATAAAACTAGATTTCCCAACACAAAATAATGAAGAACCACAGGCTGTGTTTCCTGTCATGTGACAGCAAATTGTTATTTAATGTTGCCTGTTGTTCTGCTAATGCAACGATTTCCTGAGAAAAATTAGATGGCTTCCATTGCTAGCCACATGCTGAAAGTGCTAATCGCTTGGCTGTTATACTCACCCTTTGTCTTCAATACGTCTGAGCCCCTGATCCAGGAAAAGGATGCAGTCCCAGAAAGTCAGAGAAAAGTCAAAGGTTTTTATGATTGGTCTGGGTACATGAGGTTTCCTTTTGTCCTCTTTCAGGTATGGTATGACCTGCCTCATCCAGTTTGAAGATTTTGCTAATGCCAATGCCTTTCGCCTACTGAACAGATATCGTAATCAGTACTGCACGTTCAACGATGATATTCAAGGTAGGCAAATCACCTCTTTGTTAATGTGTGTCTTTACCAACTGTTCATTATGTCCCGTGTTAACCTTGTATCACTTACACTAAAGCATATGATTTCTATAGATGAACAACGACGAGTGAGGTGAGTGGGACTGAAGTCAGAAACCAGAGAATTTCATAATTGCCCAGTTACTGGACAGCAGTTTTCCATACAGATATCTGGTTACATGGTTTCTAGCCTAATCAAATGTATGTTTTATAACAGTGCACCTGTAATCTTAAAGGGCATGATATGCTGTAATGGAGGCCAGGTAATAGTATATTTCCACTTTTGCAGAAGCTTCCACTGTATGTATGTTATGTATTCCCAATCACACAGCATACTGAAAAATAATTAAAAACGTATGTCTTACCTTTCTAATTGTTTCTTTGGAGCAGGATTATACATAGGACTCATAAATAGCTTGTATTGTTTAGAATAGCTCGCAATGAATTAAATAGACAAATAGAGGGACAGGGTTTTTTTTTAAATGCATTAACATACAATTTACCACCAAAACCTTGAGAACTTTAAAGGGTAACTTCACTTTAAAAAAATAAAATGAAAAAAAAACAACAAACGAGTATAGCATATGTACCGTAATTGTCACACAAGCCATTGTGTAATTTAATGTTATTAAAATGACCTTTCTTTTTAAAACGGAATCCACTGTAATGTTCTAAATCTGTCTGTTAAAATTTACTGTAATATGGTGACCTGGAGGAGTTCTGTATGGAATGCCCCCAGAAATATAACTTCCTGCTTCCGTGATTGGCTGACCAGTATATTTTTTTGCAGCCCTTGCAATAGGAATTTCATTTTTGGTGAGGTGCTTCCTAAGGGTTAATTACTACTAAAGGGATGCAGACACTGCACCTTTCATCATTACAACACAGGAAGTCCACTAGCTGATTATAATTAACCCAGACCCTTCCATTTAGGGATCAGTTTGGAAAGGACACGCTGCAACAAACAGCTATTTCTTAAGAACAGAAACAGGTAGAAAACTGCAACAAGGTTTGTTAACATCCTTCTAATTGATCACCCAGAGAGGATTGATTTTTTTCTCAACAAAAGTGGAATCACTCTTTAACCCTTTGAAAAAACAGTGTGCATATATAGTTTACAGTTGATAAAGAGATCTGCCAGCATAGTACAGGCAGGGTTAATTATGGTAAACATTACTTCACACAGTCCCCTCCTTAACATTACATAGAAGAAGAAGATAGCTATGTTTTTTAAGCTAGTAAAACGATCATTTTAAAAAAAATGAAGTTATGTTAGGATCCCGACACGCGCAGCACCTCAGGCAGTTGCCGGCCAGCTAAATTAGGACCCCCACCTGGAGCTCCTCCCACCGGACCAGCGCTGACTTGCCGCTGCTCTCCCGCACCAAAGGTAAGTGGAAAAAAAAAACCATAGCGCAAACATCGGGGCATTTTGACAAGTACCAGTACTTGTCAAAATGCCATGTTTTACAGGGGGGAGGGGGGAGGATACTCCAAAATACACTAAACCTTTTACCTTTGAAAGAAATATGGTCTCTACCGACCCTAACCTTTCCCATCATAGGAATACTGTACTGAAAGGGTATGGAGGCTACCCTTGCTGATCACTCTTTATGAAATTGCTAGATGCCTGGCTTTCATGCTGATCCAATGGCTTCAATGCTTTCACCACACAAAACAAGTATACAGTTTAGGAGAACTCTATTCACTCAGAATTTATAAACAGCACTTTTTCTGGATAAATAAGAAGCCAGAAACAGGCATTATAAGAAGACACTAGAGCAGCTGTCATATATCCTGTAATACATCTCAAAATCATTTGAGTATTAGATAGTTACATGCATTATATTACAAAATGGTATTTAGAATGTTCGAGCACGTGACGCTTGATAGAAACTGGTTCTCACTCTTACTGCATCTTTGTTTATATATTATTCTTATTCTTATAATTCTTGTTCCATGCAGAGATGCAGTTGTTGTTGCTATATAGATAAAACAAGAATAGTTAAGACATTGTATTTCTGCCATAAAACATTAGTAGTTCCAACTTCTCTATGTGGTTTTGCTGACTATCTCAGCACTGTGAATGATCTCCCAGTGGCCGTAAAGTTCTATAATAAAGCTGATGTTTCTCACGGATCTTCCTGTAAAACTTGTGTTTGTTAAATTAAAACCAGAAACAAGCCACTTCAACTGACCATGTTTCAGAACCCCACCTTTAATTTCAGGGAATGTTCTGATTAAATCACTTTTTCCAAGTCGTGTTCATGTTAGCTGCTCCACTTCTGAACCCCAAGAATGTTTTATAGAGATATTCGATTTTTTTCACATGCTCTTATCACTTTTCTGTTATATATATATTGGAGCTTACCAGTCCTTAGATGTAATGGCTACATTAGTTTTCTTTTTTAAGATTTTTTTATATATATTGTGACCTGGTAATAATGCCAATAACACATTTCCTGTCCTAGAGTGTCTAAGCTCACTCACTGCACTGCTATCTATGGAGGCAGCCATGGCTGCCACTCAGGCTGGATTTCAAACATGGCTTTATTATATAAATCAACCTTTTACTATGTCTACCTCCATATTATTGGCCCAGTTCAAGAATATGTTACAAGATAATAACGACATCTTAAAGAGGTCACCAAATGTAAAATGTGCAGGTAAATGCACAGTGCACACTGCACAAAAATCTAGTATTTGAAATGCTTTCTTGCAGTGTTTTGTTTCGTATTTGCTTTGTGAAGAAACAATATTGACTTACAATGTGTCTCTGCACTGGCTATCAAATTTAACTATTTCAGTTATAGTTTATTCCCTTGAAGCAAAAAACAGAGAAAGTGGGGCTTTTAAGGTGTCACTCTAAGCATGGAGAACATATAGTTCTTACGCATATAACTCTTAGAAATTCATTTTTATTTTGCTTAATAAATACTGATAAAAAAAGTATTCGTGACTCCTGTGCATCCCTCTTTCCCCATGTCTTCTGTGCGATGGATCTTGTCCCATTGGAGATGTGGATTGATTCACCGCTAAGACCCTGACAAAAAGGTTATGCATTCTTTGATGTTTGTTACATGTTCACCATGTGATGCAATTGTTTTTGTTAAACTGTTAGGATAGTTACATGTGGTTACATCCATGATATTTAAATATTACAGGCAGCCTCCTATCTTCCTGAGGAAGCTTTTTAGCGAAACGCGTCGAAGTCTGGACCCACGGTGCATCGATGCAAGACATATTGGCATGTGTTTGACAAATATACAATGAACTCAACAATTATGTATGAATATTATAAATGGTGACTACCTGCTGATGCCTAGAATGTGGCCGTGTGGTCCAGGGAGGCTATATGCCTATGGTGATTTTAGATTGTACTATGTTTAGGAAATTGATGTGGATGTGAAACCAATGGGCTTATACATTGGCCCTTTTTATCAGTATTTATTAAGCAAAATAAAAATGAATTTCTAAGAGTTATATGCGTAAGAACTATATGTTCTCCATGCTTAGAGTGACACCTTAAAAGCCCCACTTTCTCTGTTTTTTGCTTCAATATAATTAGGGGTGTGGTGTCCTGTTCCCCTTGGTGGCACAGAACCATATCTTGTGTACATAGTTTATTCCCTAGCACTTCCTCCTCCCTCCTTGCATGGCATAGCCCTCTCTTATTCTAAGAGTGTATTTTTTAGAAGCCTTTCACATGGGCATTCTGATCAGGTCTGCAGGTCAGTTTTGCAGGCGGATCTGATCGGAAGCCCAATGTTAGTCTATAGGCAGTCATGGCTGAGCTGATTGTGCCGAATTGGGGGTAATCTGACACGTGTCCGTTTATATCTGACTCTCCATAGACCAACATAGATCCGGTAATTAAAGTTTTTTCCTCCACTGGAAGGTGGAGGAAAAATTCTGGATGGATATGGAGGTCACAACAGCAGGGTCTCTTCATGCCTAATGGTTTAAAGCTATAACAAAGCTCTAAAGCTATAACAAAGTTATTCATTAAAGGCAGATTGTATTCCAGAATTGTTTCTTACTCTTGGTCCTGCAATCAATTATATTTGGCTTTTCATACTGCAGCCTTGAGTCAATCTCTTTGATTTTCCATTCAGTTGATAGCCAGAGCAGAGAACAGGATGGTCTAATATACCTATTATATGCTTATCTGTATGCAAATGTGTGGCTTACTTGATGTACTGTTCCAATTTATTATGAGATGGTAATTCTCCATCTTAATGCTGGTCATACACGTGGTCACTTTGGATACTTCTAAACCAGATTTCAATTGCAAAAGCAATTAAACATATCAAGGCAACCTGCTCCTATCCCTTTCATAAAAATAAACTGTTGGCAGAAGGTTAATTTGACCTGTGTGACCATTTTTACAACCAAAAGCTTTGGTGTTAGCACATAACCATCCTGACTACAGTTCGGATCTGCAGATGTCATAGTTATTAAAGTAGACCTTTACCCCCTTTACTAAAAATCACATCCGCATGCAGCTCTGCATGCTGATTTAAAATCCTCATACATTCATTAGATAAACAAACATGTTTTAATGTACCTACAAAAAGGGTTTATTCACTTCCCGGTCCATTTTGGCACAAATGATGTAATGTGCCCAAACTTTGCATCCTGGAAAGGCTACATCAGCAGTGCATTGCTGGGAAATCTCATCTGTAATCTCACGAGATCTCAAGGAAAGGCGTTTTCCTCCCCTGAGATTATATGCATGGCCCCATGTCCTAGTCACGTGTGCCAGAGTTCCAGGATGTAAAGGGAGATCTATTAATCTGCCCTTAGGTAAAATGGTCACTGTCAGAAGACTTGGGGAAGAAAAGAGAAATAAGGTATGCAAAGAATACAATGCCGGCAATTATCTAGAAGTATCTGTTTGTAGGTTGTCATTACTAAACATTTCTAAAGGTATCTTTGTTGTTATTTTAAAGATATGGGTAAAGTTCCTCTTTA